GTATCTGGCCCACTCAGTCATGGAGTAATGTTACATTGTCACTATAGGTTAAGTATGGTCTTTAATCTCTGAGAGTTTGGAATGGATACCTTAAACACCTTGACCTTCATGCCTTCAGTACTCTTTTATCAGGATTGATGGTGCCTTGTATGATATAATTCAGCTAGCTGTTAATCCCTTGATAGGGTTTCTTTGTCAATGATTTGGCAATTTCTACCTGAAGTGCTTGTCTGTGCTGATTCTGGTTGTGTATGTTGGATTAAAATATATGATCTGACATAGATTGTGTGTTTTATCCTCTCAGCAACTATGACCAAAATTATTAAAGAGATGTTACCACCAGACGTGCGTGTTGCACGGGATGCCCAAGATCTTCTGATTGAATGTTGTGTAGGTGAGTTTTTTATGCATTCGTCGAGCATTGCGTTGCGCCTTGTCATCTCTACCGTAGTTACTGTGTTATGACTTTCTTGTTTGGAGATCTGTTGGCTTCTGGTCTTCCTTGAAGGATTTGACCCATTTTATCATGCTCTAGCCCAGATCAGTCTGTTCACTTCGCACACTGTAATTAGTTGCCTAGGTGTTTCCACAGGTTCATAAAGTTTGTTGCTGGAAGTCTTCAGTGTTTCAGTTATTCTAAGCTTTACTTTGTCTATAGTTTTTGCTCTCTGTATGATTTTCATGCTCAATTGGGTTCAACTCTTTTTTGCAGAGTTCATTAATCTCATATCCTCAGAGTCTAATGAAGTATGTAGCAGAGAAGATAAACGAACCATTGCACCTGAACATGTTCTCAAGGCTCTAGAGGTTCTTACCTTATTCCACTTTTTCAATTAATTGTATTGTTTGTTTGGTTTATGCTCAATTGTTCTGATAATTGATAAAGAAGTATGATGCCACGTGAACTAAACCTTGGCTAGGCTTTGTGAAAAATGGCTGCCATAGGACAACTGATACTGTCTAATAAATGATTGAATTGTGTGAATATTGAGATCATAGTGTTGGTCGTTGGGTTAGTGACCTAACGCCCAATCTCTCTGCCCTTATAAGGTTCTTGGTTTTGGAGAATACATCGAGGAGGTTTATGCTGCTTATGAGCAACACAAGCTTGAAACGATGGTAATTTCTATGGCCGAGTCTGATCTCTTCTGTTTCGTCCCCTTTTTTTGATGATGTTTGGCTCGTCAAAGAAGGCTGAGTTCTTATGCTTGATTTCAGCAGGACACTCTAAAAGGCGGTGGTAAATGGAATGGAACAGAGATGTCGGAGGAAGAAGCAGCAGCAGAGCAACAGAGAATGTTTGCAGAGGCAAGAGCAAGAATGAACGGAGGTGGGGTCGCTGCCCCGAAGCAACAAACTGAGAACGATAGAAGTTTAGAGAGCTAATTTGTAGTAGTTGTAGTAATAGTGGTATTTCAGCCATTTTCATTTGTTATCTTTTCTTTTACTTGAAAAGATTTCGTCTGGGAAAACAACATAGGCAGGCAGGCAGGCAGCATCTCACACAGAAATCTTCTACCTTGCAGTCCTTGTAGTAGTGGTTTCTTTTTTTCATTTTCTCTTGATTATTAATATACTAGGTTTGTACAAAGAATGCATGTGGCAAGTGCAGTTTACTACCACTGTGGATATGCGGTTAGATTTGTGTACTTTAGCCACCTACGGATCTTCATCCTGATGTATAACTCAGAAGAAAAAAAATTAGTCCAAGTTTGTTCACTCAAATCCGTTTGTTTTTATACGTTTGAAACTTTCATTTTTATATTATTATTATTATTATTAAAGGATTTTGTTAACGTGAGTTAATTGGTTTGGTATGTTGAATCAATACTCATGGAATTCATTTGAAAATTTTATTTCAATTTCCTGAAATTGCCATAACTACTTTTTTTTTTTTTACGAGCAATATCAAAAAATTTTATTAGGCTCTATGTGCCTCCCTTTAAAACAGAGGAAGGGCACACCTGGTTCTTTACATCAACACAGCAGTAAGTTAAAAGAAACTTCTGCTACTATACTACTACATATACACAGCTAACACCAGAATCTACCCCTAATCACTTTTATTACTGACTAAAAATCGCTCGACAATCAGTGTCCAGAGCGGCATTGCCATGTCTAGCCAGCTCAATTGTCCTGCGTACTGTCCTTATCAACTCCCCAAACTGCATAGCAGGACTACCATACAATCTACCACAGCGTTCCCGCCATATCAAACTCACTACTAAGTTCCAAATCAGTCGACCAACCATGGCTAATGCCTTCTTCCCTTTGAATTTTCTAATTATAACTACTTTCAATTTCATAGAATTCAAAATTTAGAATTGAAAATGAATCATTTTGAATATCAAATATAAAAATGTTTCATTTTAAAATAAATTTCTCAAAATTTATAGAATAAGTATAGGTAAGTTTCCGAACTATTTACTGTGCTTTTCGAAGGAGAAGGGGCCAGATCCAGAAATTGGCCAACCAGATGAACCGACGACATTGACCTCATATTTCTTTGCCCAGCACATGCTCGACGGATTTCCTCAGAGAACCCCGGAAGTACTGCATAAAATTTACCAACAGAACTGCTTTCCTTTCCGCGGCTGCTGGTAATTCCTTGATGGTTTAAGGCTCTCTTACCAATTTTAGCTTGCTTAGGCATCCCATCTCTCTCGGACTACATTCCGGAGATCGCCATGGCGCTTGTCGTTCCTAGGCCACCCACACTCTATCTCAGAACTTGTAGCATTTTCGGGAACCATTTCAAACCTTCCCTCGTCGTCGCCGTGCCCATCCAGATGCAGAGTAAGTACTCTGAACTCTCATAGACAGTAAGTCCCCTCCCATTAATTTCCAGCAGGCGTCCTTAGTTGTGTTTCCGCCACCTGTTTGTGAAAAGTCCTCAATGAACCTCTGTTTTTTCTTCGTTTGCCGCTTAGACTTTCGGGCCATGAACCTGGTTGCCAGATCAAGAGCGAATCCAGCAAGAACAGAAAGTGCTAAAACCCTGAACAGGAGGAGGCTAAAGAAGGTAACTTTTCAACTGTGTTTTTTTTTCTGTTTCCTATTCAATTGGGAGATATCGATTAAAGCTTTTGCGATATCAACAACAGTTCAACGGGACGCCCATGAAGCCACGGCTGTCAGTGTTCTGTTCAACCAAGCAACTTTATGCAATGCTGGTGGATGATCAAAACAAGAAAATTTTGTTTTACGGAAGCACCATCCAGAAATCCATTCGAGGCGATCCACCTTGTTCCACGATCGTGAGTCCACGCTTACCAGAGCCTTATGATTTTTTTGTGCTTTCCACTTTCTGATTGTTGTTGCGTATTTATTATTGACAGGAAGCTGCTGAAAGACTGGGTGAGGAACTCATCAAGGCATGTGTTAGTCATAGCATCAATGAAGTTACTTATGATCGGAATGGGAACCCTCCGCGTGGGGAGAAGATGGAAGCATTCGAGATAGCGATTTCACAACATGGGTTCTTGCCTGATCGATCGACTAGGACAAGGATTCCAGCAGCTGCAACACCACCTTAGCAGATACAAAAAAATGTGCATAGATGTTCAGTGACGGCCATAACTGGTTGACTAAGAGCTTTAGTCTTCCATGATCTTTGTAGTACTTGGTCTTGTTGCATTTAATCAAAACCATAGCAGGTTTTATGCCTGATCGTGGAATGCAAAACGCACAATTCGAAACTACGAAACGGGTTAGAACATCCTAGCCTCGTTGGTCATTAGGATCGTAGCTGGCTTTGTTGGTGGCACATGTGCAGCATTGTGTAACCAAATTCTTTTTCTTTTAATGCCCATGTAACTGCATGATTTGGTGCAATGATATCAGATTTGATCATTCCATCATTCTCCCCTTAAAACGCTACATATTCTGATAAACCCAATAACCCAATTAGAGTTCTGCTTAGTGACATGGATGGCCACAAAGATGAAAGATCCCAATATATTGTGAACATCTGAAAGAAGTGCCCAAACATCGAGAGGGAGCAAAGTAGGCCCCGCTATCAGGAAGGTAACGTGTAAAGGGTAATTGTAATGGTGCTGAAGGTGGTGGTGGAGACTAGTCGAATCGAGAGACAGAGATAGAGAGACCAGGTTGGTTCAAATGCAATGGTGACCTTTCATAAGAAAAACAACATCTTCTGCCTGTTGGGTGGGATTTGATTTACTGAACCCAAACGCTGCTCCCTCCCCTGATTCATGTTACGAACACAGACAACACTGTTGCAGAACGAAGGCTACAGTTTGCTTTGCTTCGGTTCCAGAGCATGTATTATTAGCAATGGAGGAGTGACAGCATGGCGTCAGCATGTCTGCCTGATTTGCTTTTCTTTCTGCTTTTGTGCTTTCTTCTAGTTTTGTTTTGTCATGTTTGTTCTCTTTCGGATCTTTTCGCGAGGGGAGCTTAAGTTCAAGTTCAAGTTTGAGTGTTAGTAGAGTTTGAGTTGTTCGAAATTGAAGCATAAAACTAGCACGTTGGTGTGATGGCTCATCTAGCAATATCAGAGTTGTATCACCATTGTAAAGTTTCAGCTAAAATGCTATTGTTCGATATTCAAAACTCCGCACGAATGACGAAATAAAATTATCATATCGATAATGTAGACGCTTAGTGAACGATCCTATCCATCTTATAGAGGAGTCTCAAGTGCAACTCGTTGGATGAACGAAACAAAGAAAAACCCTTCAAATCAATTGTACGACCTACTCGTACCATATCAATTTGCTTATCAAGCTATTTGTCACTTGCACCCTTCTAGTTCAAGCCAAAATAGGGGAACAAAATATAGTGAGAGAACAAAAGAGAGACAAAAGAAAAGAGAAAGACAGTCAAGTAATAGAATCACTACTCTCCTTCTCTTCAATGCCCCACAAAGAAAGTGAAATTACACTCCCATTGTCCCCCCTCCCTCTCTACTTTGATTCCTTTCCTTTCCCCCATTCCAATACCAACAGACTTATAATAACACCACTCTACCACTACTACTATACAACTCTCTTCCATTCTTCTTCCTTCCCACCTCAGCTTCTCTTTCCCCTTTATTTCTTTTGTCAGGATTCCCTTCCGTCACTACATAACAAAAGAATTCCATAAACAAAAACCCACATATCACACACTCTGCTTTCCCCTGCATCTTCATCTACTACTACTACTACTACAAGTAGAAGCAGAAGAAGCAGCCGCCTTATCTCTTGTTTCTACTCATTACCCATTATACTCTGCCTCTCTACAAACCAATACATGTCGACTAGAGCCACGCCGGAGCTTTCCTCCAGCTCCAAACGCCACTTCCACTGGACCAACAAGGTTGGAACCGAAGAAGACGACGAAATCCCCCCACCAACCGCCGCCAAATCCTCTGCAATTCCAACCCTCAAGCATTCCGCTTCGTGGGTCATTAGAGACGAGAGCAGCAGCACCAAATTCAGAAGCGGAATCCCGACTCCGCGGAAGAAGCTTCCCGCCGTTGCCGTAGCCAGGCTCCGATCCGTACTCTCCACGTTTGGCAGGAACCGGTTCGGGTTGTCGCCGTCCAGCCTTCCGTCGGGTCTGGGTCATCGGGTCGTGGGTACCCTGTTCGGGTCGCGAAACGGGCACGTCAATTTCGCCTTCCAGAAAGAACCCACTTCCCCACCTGCCTTTCTGATCGAACTGGCGACGCCAATTAGCGGGCTCGTGAAGGAAATGGCATCTGGGTTGGTCAGAATTGCCCTGGAGTGCGACAAGAAGCAAGAAGGTAACCATAGGCAGAGGAAAAAAGCTTCCCCTGTTTCGGGTACTAGCAATTGTGGCCCGGTTCGGCTGCTGGAGGAGCAGAACTGGAGGGCATTCTGCAACGGGAAAAAATGCGGGTTTGCAGGGAGGAAAGAGTACTGTGGGGTGAAAGAGTGGAAGCTGCTGAAAGCTCTGGAGCCGGTCTCGATGGGGGCCGGGGTTATGCCGAGCTACGGGGAAGGTGAGAGGACGGAGATCATGTACATGAGAGCTAAGTTCGAGAGGATTGTTGGGTCCAGAGATTCCGAGGCTTTCTACATGATGAATCCCGACAGCAATGGAGCTCCTGAGCTCAGCGTCTATCTGCTTAGAGTCTAGTAAATTAGGGGGTCTTTTGGAAGTGTGGGGAAGGAGGAGGATACTTGGGGGATACTGTTCATCTCTTAGACTTTGTGACTGTTTAGGGATTCTTCCTGTTTTTCATGGGTTAGATTTAGGAGGTGGTGGCGGTGGGGAAGAAGGAGAAGTGTGTAAATGTATAGTGGGTATTTGTTTGGAATACTTGTTAGTAAGTGGGGGGAGGGGGGAAGACAATGGAGGGCCAAACTGAAATCATGAATGTCTTTGATTTTGATTCCATCTCTAGCTTGTTTTGTTGATTGTTCAAAGGTTTGATTAGATTAGATCCCATTTCGTTTTGTTCACCGCAAACAAATTTAGTGGGGAACTAGAAATGTGGGTATTTAAGTTTCAACTTTGAAGCACTATCAAATGAATCGTAGACATGAAAAGTCTCATCATGCTAAAAATTATGATCGCTATTTTTAGACGAGTTCCTTTCATCAAGAAGGAGTTTTCATAAGTAACAATGTAACGTTGATATAAGAGAATATCATATCTTCCGGTCAGTTGTAATTAGTCAGTCAATTCAGGAACCTTTCTTCGATTAGAAACTTCCAAACAATTCGATTATTGTTCTTGTTCCCTTGTCAAAATTCTTGTAACACTATCGTAATTGCCACGAGAACGGAGTATATTGAACACTAATTTGTATTAAAAAGAAAAGGTATTATCAAAGGAAAGGAGGAAAAAGGGAACACCCCAAATAGAGTAAAAATACAAATGGTGGGAATCTTTCGGCTTTTTTATCACTTTTTTTTTCTTCTTCCCTGCCAACAAACCCAAACTTCTCTTTACCTTGCGGTGTGGGGTGGGGGTTTCATACTAAAATGGAGATGCGATAATGCTCATACCATAGCATATAAAATTTTTTTAGGGCACTAAGCCATTAGGATCCAGGGTTTATACAGGCTAATGTCTCTTAGGTTTAGGTGTGGATGAAAGCTAGAGGTATATTCTAATTTAGAAGTTTTACATTAGAAGTTTTGATCTATACAATGTATTCATATGGATCTTATCTTATTGTTAAATTAGGCTCATTAACATATCAAAGAAAATACTTTTATGTAGGATAATCGAACTTTGAAATCTATTTCAACGATACCAAACATTATATCTCTTACATTTTAGATAAAGGAAGACAAACTTTGCCACAAGTAATCCGATTCAATTCACATATAAGACGACTAAATTGAGAGAATGTAGCATACCTATAATAACGCATGTTCATTGTAACCTAGTTGACCTAATAAGTTGAGAAGCAAAGTATTTTCTACCTAACAGACAAAAGATAGAGATTCATCATTAATACTCAGCACATGCAAACTTCAAAGAGAAACAAGCATATGTATAAACTTTCGTATGAGAATTAAGAACCTAGCTACCAAGCCTCGCAACCAGTGGCGGACCCAGAAATTTTACATAGGGGTGTCCACTTTAAAAAAAAAAATTAAATACAAATAATTCTAAAATAATTAATAAAAATAAAAATATTTAAATAAGAAATACTTTACTCATACATTGAAAAAATTCACAATGTGTTTTCATATTAAAAAATGATTACACACTTAGGGTCTACACTATTCAAAAAAAATTGTCTCTGTATATCATATTAGACAATCATTCACGAACTGATCACATATTCAATTTCTAAACTTGTTCTTGATGCAATCCAAAGCTGAAAAGACTCTTTCAATACTTGTACAACCATAAATCAATACAAATTAAGGGTAGCTTGAAATTTGTTTAATTGTTAGATTTTGAAAATAATTAGAGATAGAGAATGACATTATACTATTACACAGTGTTTCAAATCGAATAACATATGAGTTGTAGCCTAATGAAAATTATGTTTATTAATAATAAAGTGTCCTAGGTTTGAATTACCCAAACTACGACTTATATTCTCATACTCAAACTAAAAGATGAGAGTAGAATAATCACTTTTTTAAATTTAGGGGTGTCCCCGACTATCAATTATAATTTTTTTGTCAATACGTAAATTACTACCGGAGTTTGGATAATCGTTTTCCTAAAAACACCCGTGGGTCCGCCACTGCTCGTAACATATACCAAACAAATGATGATGACACTTTCGATGAAACGACGTAGCATTAGAGTTGTATTGAGATTACCGTTTGGTTTTTCAGTATTTTCTTATAAATAAAATATGTACTTGACATCCACTTAGAATCAATCAAGTTAATACGAAAAGTACTTCGAGTCTTTCCCTTTCTTCCTCGTCTCTCTCTGCTTGGCCAAACCAAATTATCTCTCTCTTTCTTATTCTCAAAGCTTCTCTCTCTGAATTCTTAATTATGTTCTTCCCCGGTCCATGTTCTCAATCCTTAATTCTACATATCAATCCCTAGATCCCTAGTCATCTATCAATCCTCAATCTCATAACCCAACCCGAAGATCTTAGATCTCGATTTCCTGGCAAAGCACAGAGAGAGAGAGAGAGTCCTATGAGAAGATTACACATACACTACTAGTAAACCCAAAGAAGAGAGCACCATCCACACAGAATGATGAGGATGGTAACCTTAATAGCTAGGCCCAATATGTCGAGGAACAGAGTATCTTTGTCTGTTGTCACCAGCATCTTAGCCATATAGATTACCCATGCACGTAAAAACCGATGCTTCTCTCTAAACTTGCATATCTTTAGTATATCAATGGTGAATCTATCTTTTGTCTCCAACCACTGTTTCATGTTTAGAATTATCTTTCTTCTTAGAGAGAGTTCTCCCTCGTCCATATGTTGTTGGAGTTGGGCCCTTTGCCATGTTATTGCCCACTTTCCTGTGTTTGGTGTAGGACAGCATTGGCAAGTGTGTTCAAATATTTACCACATCCACTCCATTTTATTCCTCACAAAAAGAGGGATTTGATTTGGGGTCCAAAAGTGCAAATATGTTCCCAATCATTTGCTTTTTGGCATTGTGCCTGAATTCTGTGCTATGCTCTCTTCTTGTAAATTGATCCCAATGCGCGGATCACTTCACTTTATTGCTCTCACCTTCTTATCATATACACCTCATCATCAACTCTAAAATAAATTGAATAAACAAAGCTTCAAGAAGGCCTTAGGTACAAGATAAATCTAATCTGCTGCCTCATTTGTGTAGACATCTTCTAAGCATTGTTTAGGTGTTAAGGAAAAATAGCATTTTGTGTTAAATGGTGAATGAAATAGAAGTTTTACTACACTTTCGCTTTAGTTAAAATGATTAATAACCTACTTAACATTTAACAAGAAAAATAACTCACAAGTCCGTCGTATCATAGCTTAATAGCTCACAAATTTCAGAAGCTATTGAAAAGATCGAGAGATAAGATTGAGTTTGCATGATGTTGATTTCTCACTTCAAATATTAACTGCTCATCTCTGCCTAATCATGTCTAGGGACATCTAAGTGTTTCATTATACTTTGTCGCTAGATTTTGGATATTTAACTCACCATGAAGCCCATTTGATAAGACGTTTTGGCATTGCATATCGCCTAGTTGTGCCTAATTTTATTGAATGAAAAGATCAAGACGAGAATTATGAATAGGCAAAATACAACTGTATATCCACAACTACCAGGTTTGTGACAAATATATCCACAACTAACGAAATACACAAAATATCCAAAAATTAGGAGGTTGTGTGACAAATCTATCCACTTTCGTCTGAAACTATAATGGCGTGTCAGACGACGTTAAATTGACTAACAGAATGCTTAATCGATGCCATCTCACCTGCCACATAAGTCTAAAAGCAACCAAACTTTACACCGTTATCTGTTAGACCTTGCTGCTGCAGTCTTCTCTGTTGACGATTTGGTTAGATTCAAACTTTTTTGTTTGAGATTCAAGCTTGGTATACCATGGTGCCGACTGCATGGAAGTCATTGAAATAAAAGGGAGGCAATGGTTAAGGATTGTGGTTGGAATCGAAATCTAGGCTTGGGGTAGGGTTATTTGGGGGTGGAGGCGTCGATCGGATGAGGACTCAGTGGTTATCAGGTGTGTTTCTGGGTTGGATTTTTAGTCTCGCTGTCTATAGTTTTTAGGGATTTTAATTTTTTCTCTCTTTTAATCCACGTCATTCAGTGGGGTCAGAAACACGCCAACTAAGCATCCACCGTCTGTCCAGTCATCAAGTTAACTGACGGAGTTAACGGAGTGGACGAAAATGGATATTTCGTGTATTTCGATAGTTATGGATATATTTGTCACAAACCTGATAGTGGTGGATATATTTGTCACAAACATGATAGTTGTGGATATACAGCTGTATTTGGACTTTATCAACTAGCCTATTTGGCATCTACGTGGAAAGTTTGGTTGCTTTTTGGCTTATGTGGCAGGTGAGATGACATCGATTCAGCATTCCGTTAGTTAATTTAACGCCGCCTGACACGCCGTTATAGTTTCAGATGGAAGTGAATAAATTTGTCACACAACCTTCCGATTTTTGGATATTTCGTGTATTTCGATAATTGTGGATATATTTGTCATAAACCTGATAGTTGTGGATATACAACTGTATTTTGCCTTATGAGTAATAGAACGAATTACCAAGTCATATATCATCCTGCTTAACAAGTAACAACAAAAGGTTTTTTTTTTTTTTTGACAAAAGGTAATCATATATTGATTCAAGAAGAGATAATTACATCCTGGAGATCAGCCAGGCCTGGAAATCAAAAACACGACTCATAGTCGGAGACAAAGAAAGGGCCTTCCTAGCCACCATGTGGGCTACCCTATTGTTATTCCGACCTATAAACCGCACACCCAACCCTGGATGAGACTGAAAATAATGTAAAACTTCTTCCAAAATAGCTCCCACCCGGGTATCACTAGCCTGCCGCAAAATAATCTTGTCAATAATCACCTTGGCATCCCCCTCAAACCGCACCTCCGTGAATCCAAGACCCAAACACCAGTCAATCGCCTCCCGAAGGAAGAGTAATTCAATGACCATAGGATCAACCAGGTCCGAAAACTGGATCCCCCTAGCCAAAAATACTTCACTGGCCGCAGTCATCAGCACCATACCCCCAGCCGAGGGAGCCCCCTCCCTGGTAGCCCCATCCCAGCAGCAGACGACCCTGGGATCAGCAGACGGGGCAACCGGGCGGATAGATGGGATATGATGCAGGATAACTCTATCCATGGGAAGGCTCACCCACTCTTCATATTGCTTGTGAAACTGCCTCATTAAGGTCGGGATCCCAAATTGCTTTCCCTCAAAGACAATCCAGTTCCGAGAACGCCAGATTCTCCAGAGGATAGCCACTAATGCCATAAACAACTCCGGCTGGTGGATAAGAGCCATAACCATCTTAAGAAATAGGGGGAAGGTATGTCGAGGTAAGCCCTGCCCTAAAAATTCCA